ATCGAATTCAAACTCCACGCATTGATCGTCGTAAAAAGATAAATGATTCTACATTATCTGGAAAAAATAGTTTAGATGCTTCCCATGCTCAGAAGTTTACAGTTCCTCCTATTTTCCAGGCTTCCATTTCAAATCAAGAATCGACTAATATTGTTCATTCTAAAGTACGAGGATTTTCTAACCTATTGAACATACCAACTAATGCATATGTATTACCGACATGGAACTATTGTGAATATTGTGGTGCACGAAAATTTTATAGAGAAACTGAAGGGTTTTATATGCCTGATTCACCGACTGAATTGTATGATTTATTTACTTCTAAAGAACCTGAATGCATAAAATTTAAGAAAATTGCACGTAGATATAATAACCATTTTGCTTTCACTTCGTTTGGTGTAAAATTTGATAAAGAACTTTTTAGAACATATAAAGGTATTTACACTTTCAGAGTTCAAGGACAAGTATATCATTATGTGAATCAACTTATGCCAAAAAATAACAGCCTTCTTATATGCAGATATATTTTTATGATACAGATAATGAAATTGAAAATCGTATGAAAATTTCAAAAAATTTTGTTGAATCTACTTTGATCATTTTGATTGAAATCTTGAAAGTAAATACATATAGTAGATTCTTTAGGTCTTTAAGTAATATGACTAATTTGCATGACCATCGAATACAAATAAGATGCGATCCTAGACTTGATCAAAGAGTCTTAAATACTCCTTCGGCGTCTCAAGTAGCTGCTGTATGGGTTGAGGATGATGACAATGCAAATATTCGTTCTCGTGATATTACTATATATGGTCATTCTGGTGATTCACATAGGGTTCATTATTATTATGGTTGTTATGATCATTTACAATACCCTTTACTTTTCCCATTTGGAGAATCTGGTTGGCATGAAGGTATTCAAAGATATCAAAAGACATGTTTTGAAACTTAAAATTTGGCTGACTACGTAGCTTTTCCTAGCGTAGTAAATTTTGCAACCAAAATCATTGAAAAAGAGGCCGAAGGTTTGCTAATACACTTTTTTTTGTATGTTTTCTAACTTATATAAAGTAAGTGTTCTAAATGGATGTAAGATGCACTTTTTTTAATCCTCATGCAATGCTCAATGGAATGAAGACATGATCTTAGGTTTCTTGTCGGGAGTACTATTCCTACAAGTTACAAATTAGACATTCTGGTAAGTCTGTGTTACTTCATACTGGTAGATTTTTTCAACAATGTGTTGTAGATATCCACGTTAAGATTGAAACTACCAGATTAGACTATTTTTGTAGCAACCAAAAGTAAATTCGTGCTAAACTTTATCAAGGTATTGTAGATAGTATTTAAAATGGGGAAACAAGAGGGTTAAAAATTGGTAAGAAGATTGTTCTACCACAGACTTTCCCATGTGGGCCTAGAGATATGCTCAAAAGATATTTAGATTCAATAGCTATCGTTCAACGCTATGGAAAACCAGATATATTTCTAACTATAACTTGTAATCCAAATTGGCCTGAAATTACGGAAGAACTGAAATACAATGACGAAGTTCAAAATTGACTAGATTTAATTGCACGTATATTTAGAGCAAAATTAGAAAAATTAAAAAAGGATATGTATAAAGAAAATATTTTTGGCCCAGTTATTGATCATATATACATGATTGAATTTTAAAAAAGAGGGCTCCTCATGCACATTTATTGTTGATTTTCAATTCTGCCCATAAAATTTTTTGCGCCGGACAAGTTGATATGATAGTGTCATGTAAAATTCTCGATAAGAATAAATACTTGCATCTTCATTATGTAATTGCAAAACACAATATGCACGGTCCTTGTGGAAAATTTTAATCCAAAAAATGTGTGTATGTTGCCAAGGCAGTGGTTGTAAAAATAAATATCATAAAGATTATTGTAACAGTACTATATTTGGTGATAACTCATGTCCATTGTATAGACGTCGTAATAATGGTATTTCTATTAAAGTGAGATGTTAAATGTTAGATAATCAATGGGTTGTACCATATAATCCTTATTTAAGTGTAAAATTTGACTGCCATATTAACGTTGAAGTATGTTCTTCTATTAAAGCAGTAAAGTGTTTGCACAAATATGTGTATAAAGGACATGATCATATTAATTGTTTCATAGGTAGAAATGAAATGGATAAGGAAATCGATGAAATTTCTGGTTATCAATTAGTTAGATGGATATCTCCACCTGAAACTATGTGAAGAATTTTTTCTTTCAATTTTCAAAAATTTACCCTACTGTTTATACTTTACAACTTCATATTAAAGATCATCAGCGCGTAACTTACAATAATAAAGATAATTCATATATTATTATTGGGAATGAATAAACGAGAAGAACAATCTTAAGATAATTTTTTTGGATGAATAAAGCAAATGAATTTGCTTGAAGATTGTCTTATCGAGATTTCCCAACACATTTTATGTAGAATGCAAATCGAAAAGTTTGGACTCCTAGAAAACAACATATTGTTATAGGACGAATTGTGACAGTCAATCCATCTGAAGGAGAACGATATTTCCTTCTTGTTCTTCTGAATCATATTAGAGGTCCAACATCATTTGACAATTTTAAAACTTTAAATGGAGTAACTGTTAATACATATTGAGAAGTAGCACTTTTACATGGTTTGTTAAAAGGGAATAATCATTGTGAAGAATGTCTATCCGAAATTATTATTTACAAAATGCCTAATTCTTTAAGACGCCTTTTTGCAACACTTCTTAGACTTTGCAGCCCTAATCATCCCAAGCTAGTGTGGGATAAATATAAAGCCTATATGCTTGATGATTATGTACATCGAAACATATCTGTTGAAGATGTTGAAGTACAAGCTTTGGAAGACATCAATTCTATATTAGAATCATTAGGTAAAAAAGTAAATGATTACGGAATAGTTTCATTCTTCGTAAATATAGATGAGACTCAAAGATTGACAAGAATGGCTGCAAAGGAAACAATCAATTTCAATATTGAACGAGGCTTCAATTATGTAGAGCAATTAAATAAAGAACAACGATTTGCATATGATATAGTTATGGAAAAAATAAAAAATGAATCAAGTGGTACTTTCTTTATTGATGGTCCAGGGGGAACAGGGAAGACTTTTTTTATACAAAGCTCTTCTAATTAGTGTAAGAAGTCAAAATTTCGTTGCTTTGGCAACAACATCCTTTGGAGTTGCTGCATCTTTGTTGCTTGGAGTTAGGGATGGCAATTCGAACTGTCAAAATCGAAAACCGTGGTTAACCGAACCGAATGGGGCGAAAAAAATCGAACCGATGGTGCAATGGGGCGGGTATGGTATTTGATATTGCTGAACCGCTATGGGGCGGGTATGGTATTTACACCCTTGCCCCGAAACCGAACCGATTACCCGTAAAAAAAATAAAAAAAATGATAATAATAATTATTGGACTTTCCACTATTTTTATCCAGCCCCAAATAAAATTCTGCCCAGCCCAATACATTCACTATACCAGTCGTCCAGCCCAACTCCCCACAGCCCAGTTACCATAACCCATAAGAAATTATAGAATCGGGTTCGGGACCTTCGGGTATATGACTTATGAGAGTGTAATTGTGTAAACCCTACTTCTTACCCTTACTTCACAAATCAGTGAAATCAAACAGACAAACACAGGCCACACTCACGCAGTCGGCAACCACAGCTCCACGCCTGACGCCTCATCGGCTCCAGAGTCCAGACAGTTAACTTCACGACATCACCGGTTCACCCTACAACAAAAACGCACACAGCCACTGTTCCTGCCTCCAACAGTCCTACCACTATTTGAGGTAAATGAAATACCGAATCATCTTCTTCTGCTTTCGTTGTATTTGAGTTTTTCTATATTTGAAGGAACTGAAGTGCACGCCCATGTTGAAGTATGGATTTAATTCACTGCATTAGTATTATGGGACATTAGGGAAAATGGGTTTTGCAAAGAAAGTGTTTGATGAAATGATTGAAAGAAGTTAGGCTTTGTTTTCTAAGTAGTTAATATAAATTGAGGACATGAAAGAATTCGTCTGAATACTGAACCTTTTTAGGGGCATTCTTCAATTGTTCGTAGCATCTATCCACATAATCGTCTATCCACGATGTCTCAAGGCTTGTAATGAGTGTTCATAAGTGGTTAACTAGTTTCTGTTGCATTTTATCTATGTAATTTTAGCCATTATATCATTTTGGTTGAAAAGTCAGAAATGCTTTTGTTAATGTAGACAAAGGCATTGCAACTTTGGACTGATTAAAGCAATAAGGCAACTATATGTTCCTGACATTCAAGATTTAATTGATATGTCACGAATTCAATCCTTATTCCCCTAATTCTGCATGTATTTTTGCCTTGTAATGCAATTGAATTCTTAATAATATCGGATATAAACACACACGCACAGACACACACACGAGCTACCTATAGAGTAAGATGGGACTGGACAATTTTGTGCCTTTTGACACTGAATTGATTTCACAGGTTTAATTCTTTGCTCCTCTAGGAGATGTTATGATATGGAAAATAAATCTTTATTTGCTACATTGGGTGCTTATATTTGTTTTTACCACAATTTTAAATGACATCCATGTGCTTGTAATTTTTCTAAACCACTATATTGGCATCACATCTCCACAGGTTCAATCTGTAGTTTCTGATTAGATATAGATATGACCTTCCTTTGTTTCTTTAACTTCTTCTATTATGCAGTTCCTTTCCTTAAAAATTGAGTGCCTCCAACTAATTCCCATCACTTCACGCCTTTCATTCTCTTCTAAATTGTTTTAGATTGAAAACCTCAATTGAAATGATGCAATATGGTTAAGACTTTCTTTATGGAACCAAGTCCATTAGTTGCTTCTTTAATTGGTTTGAATGGCCATATAATTTGTACTTTCCCAATATTTGTGACATAAAGTTGGCAATCCGTGATTGGAGCACATCATCTTGCGATGAAGTCAAATGGATGGCGTCAAGTATGAAGGAAAAGTTTGATAAATATTGGAGTGGCTTGCATGAAATTCTAGCTGTTGCAACTATATTGGATCCTAGATACAAGATGAAACTAGTTGAATACTATTTCCCTTTGATCTTTGGAGATGAAGCACAGGAAGAGGTTGAAAAGGTTAGAGCATTTGGTCATAAGTTGCTCAAAGAGTACAAGAGACCACATCGTTCGACAGAAAATACATCTTTGTTTCCGTCATCTTCACAATCAGAGTCGTCTACTACTAGTGGAAAATATTCTCGCATGGCTGGTTTTGATACATTTGTTAGCCTTTCTGTTACTGCTGATCATGTAAAAACAGAATTCGATGTTTTTCTAGATGAGCCAGTATTGCCTAGGGTGGACGGTTTTGATCTATTGACATGGTGGAAAGCAAATTCAATAAAATATCCGACTTTACAGAAGGTTGCAAGAGATTTATTAGTCATTCCAGTATCTACTGTTGCATCCGAGTCAGCATTTAGTACAAGTGGTAGATTTGTGAGCCCACATAGAAATAGGCTTCACCCGAAAACTTTAGAAGCTTTAATGTGTGCTCGAGATTAGCTTTGATCTGATATTCATGGTAGGATGTATTGTTTTATGTTTGTTATTTATGCACTTTCTTTTATTGCTAATTTTTTCCTCTTTTGTGTGTAGAAAATTTTGGTCCTTCATCATATTCCGGAGCTTGTGCAAAGTTTGATGACGAGGATGTTGACGAAGAGGTACATTTTTTTGTTTAAATATTTAATTAAAAACATTATGGATTATTGATTTATTACTCTACTTACATTTCTTATATACTATATAGGAATCGACTTTGAGTTTTGACGGATGCCAGTAAGAGTTGTAGAGAAGAATGAAGATTGAATATGAATTGAAGTTGAAGCTTTTTTGAGTTATTGAATATTGTTTGTTAAATTTGGATTTTGTGTAACTGTGTTTGAGAATTGGGATTTTTTTGCATTTTCATTTGGGATGTATTGTTGTTCGCTACATTAACTTAGTATCATGTTTTTGTTTTCATTTTAATTCGGCGGATGGACCAATTAAAAATAATTTATTTTCGTGGTTATTAACGACCCGAACCGAGCCGAACCGAGATACGAACCGAAACCGAACCGAACCGACTTTCGTGGTTATGGTGCGGTTATGGTATGACCAAAAAATTGATGGTTCGGTGATGGTTTTGGACGAACCGACCCCGAACCGAACCTTTGCCATCCCTACTTGGAGTTCACACAGCTCATTCAAGATTTAAAATTCCTTTGGAAACATTTGGAGAAGTGAACTGCTCTGTTAGCAAGCAATCAGCTTAGGAATGTTGTTGAAATTGTCTAGATTAATAATTTCAGATGAAACACCTATGGTAAATCGTTGTGTTATTGAAGCTGTAGACAGAATGCTTAAAGATATTACTGATTGTAACTTGGCTTTCGGTGGGAAAGTGATAGTTTTTGGAGGGGATTTTCGACAAGTTCTACCAGTGGTACCGAAAGGGAAAAAAGAAGAAGTAATGAAAGCTAGCTTGGTTTTTTCAGACCTATGGCCTTCCTATTTACATTTACCATTGGTTGAGAATATGAGAGCAAAGTTAGATCCTATGTTCTGTACTTATTTACTTAGAATTGGAGATGGAACAGAAGAAAATACTTGTAAGTACGTTATGCTTCTGAATAGTATAATTCTACCATTTGAAGATGAAATCACATCTTTAAAAATTTTGATACATCATGTTTTTCCAAATATATAAACATATGCTGACAATCTACATGATATGGTAAATAGAGTTATTCTAACGCCTACAAATTGTTGATTATATTAACAGGATTTTACTTGAACAAAATCCCGGTGAAATTTTTACATACTACAGTTTTGATGAAACAATTGATAAATCAGAACAAATCTTGTAAGAAGATTTCTTGAATACTTTAACACCAAATGGTATTCCACCGCATGAATTGAAACTTAAGATAAATTGTCCTGTAATGTTACTGCAGAATATCAATCCTTCTGAAGGATTATGCAATGGAACACGCCTTACTTGTCGAAAATTTGAGAAAAAACGTTATTTTAGCTGAAATTACAACTAGTGAATATTGTGAAAATATGTTTTCTTACCAAGGATCCCTTTTATACCTCTTCGAAGTGATAGAAACTCAATTCAATTTAAGAGAACTCAATTTTCCAATTAGACCATATTTTGCGATGACTATAAATAAAGCACAAGGTCAAACACTTGATTTTGTCGGTCTATATCTTCCAGAACCGGTTTTCTGCCATGGTCAGCTATATGTAGCATTATCAAGAGCAAAAACGAGCACATCTCTAAAAGTTCTATTGAAACCATCAAGCATAGACAATTTTCATAACACATGTACTAAAAATGTTGTGTAACAAGAAGTTCTTTCTTTTATACATTCATATACCTAAAATGTTTTAAAATGTATATTTTTTTTTCGTTCAGAAATTTTTATAATATGCTATCGTATAACGATTTCCTTAAAATTTTAATTGCATGCAAAAATATGACGTTACCAATTTTTTCATTCTTTACATTTGCTATAAAAAAAAATTTACAAGTTCTATAAGTGGGATTCAAAAGTTCTTTTCAATTCCTTGCTACATGTATACAATGGAATCCTTAACGACAGCTTCAAATAAAACTCAAGTTTGCAGAAAGTATGATTTTGATTTGTTAGTGTTATAATACTTTGCTAGTTTGGTAACCAATTTATGTCAGTGGAATGTGGAAATAGAATGTCATTTCTCTATTTTCAGAATAGATTTACCTTCAAAAGTTTCACACTTTAATGAATATGAATTGTCACATAAATATTCTTCCTCAGTTACTGAAAACTAATTATCTTGACTAATGCAAACAAAGGCACTGAAAACAAACATTGAAACAACCAAAAGGAATTCGAGAATCCAGCTTAATTGAAAATTCAGCTCACTAAACACTCGATCAATTTACTTATTGTTTGATTTAGAAGCAAGCATAGACTTGTCTTCTATTTTATGGATTTTTTAATTGCAGATGATTATTATGTAGAAAATTTATTCTTAGCATATTATGATATCATACATTTATCGAAAAATTCTTACATCTTTCGACTTCCAAGTAACAATTAAAGGAGATTAAGAGCATCCTTAGCCTTGCTTAAAAATACGTGAAAAAGTATTTTCAAACATATTTGGATAAGTTACTCCCATTTAATCTTAAGTAAAAGTTACTTTTTGTGAAAATAACTCACTTTACTAGCAAAATAGGAAAGTTAATTCTAATTTTGATCAATTAAAGAACTACTTGTTTACTCAAAAATACACCTTTTATATAGCCAACCATGTTGAACTCAGTTTATGTATGAACTTTGTTGTTGATAATTACATTTAGAATTGAACAACTGAGTTTATTGGTTGAGCAAGCAACTTTTAGTCTTTTATTAGGTTGAGGTACTATCCTTAGAGAAAGCAATGTTACTATTTAAAATTGAGATAAATCTCTATATCGGCATTCTAATCGATACAATGATGCTGACTAATATTGTCAACTGTCACTTGAGTGCATAACATGAATTATTTCGAGGACCATATGAATAAATGTTAGCTTTATTAGCACTATACATTTTATTTGATCATTTCCACTACTTTTGGTGCTTGATTCCTTATTTAATAAACTCTGCTAGGTGATCAGCTAGCAATAGCAAAGGAAACATGGCACGGTTTGGGAATGGGTACCAACAAAATGTATCCTTCATCTTCTTTATTAAGAAATAACAAAGACAACTCAATTGCTATATTGCCCATTGATGAGCTGATTGGAAAGGTTGAAAACTTTGTTAGTGTGTGTGCAATCTCTCATTACATAATACCTTTACACGGATACTGGTTAAACTAAAAATTACATATATTTTATTTTTTAATTTGTCTTTGGAAAATTCTGCATATCTGGCTTTAAACGTGATGATCATACTTTTCTCATTTTCATAAGAATCTTTAAAGTGATATTCAATTATTATATTGCATTTTCTTAGCATTTTGATTTATTATATAAGATATTACTTTTTATTTTCCAATAAACTTGATTCCTTGTTTAATGAGTACATATGTATATTTGGGTACACAACACAAATATGAATTGTTAAATCAACTACTTTTTCATTCTTTCAAATAGTTAATTTAAGCATCAATGCTCTTGTACAAAGCCTTATTACTGTTGTACTTACTATTAAAACTAAACTTTATATAAAAGTCTAAAAAATTTTTGCAACAATTCAAGTTTTTTATATTTTGAATCACCAATTAAATTATAATCTAAATTAATATACTTCAATCATGACGACTCTAATAAAACTCACTTGCTAATTAGTAATTTATGTTTGCATTTAGGTGACTGAGGGCTATGACAAATAAGCATCAATGCTCTTGTACAAAGCCTTATTACTGTTGTACTTACTATTAAAACTAAACTTTATATAAAAGTCTAAAAAATTTTTGCAACAATTCAAGTTTTTTATATTTTGAATCACCAATTAAATTATAATCTAAATTAATATACTTCAATCATGACGACTCTAATAAAACTCACTTGCTAATTAGTAATTTATGTTTGCATTTAGGTGACTGAGGGCTATGACAAATTTTTTTAAGGATTTGATCAAGCTAATGTGAAGTTGTAAAGCATGGTTTAATAGGGAATTGAGTTCTTTCCAATGGAATTGAAATTTGATCACTTTTTAGAGGTATAAAAGGGATTCTTGATAAGAAAACGTATTTTAAATACTATGAGGTATGACAATTTTATATGTTTTTAATTTATGCTTATCATATTATAAAATATATATATTCATATTGATTTGTATAGCATTTTTCTTTGAGATGTTATATAGTTTTAATCTATTATTTTTTATTTTTTCTACGTGTACAATTAGCTTTTTAAGTTAGTTGAATTATTTCAGCTTAAAGCTTTGGTTAAAAATAATATTTACATTTATTCCGCTAAAAAAATTTTTGTTTCTTCTTTAGCAGACATTATCAACACAGATGTCGTTGAGCTCTGATGTTTAGGAACATTTAATGAGTTGTTGAAATCTTTAGATATATGTGTTAATAGTTTCACATATCTTATAGTGTATCTTAATTTTATTATATTCAAAGACCATTTCACTTTTATTAACTATTTTTGTGAAATAATCATAATTAAAATGTGACAACTTCAAACAATATACACTTCACACTAATTTCATTCTTCTTTTGTATTCATTTGTGTTTTACTTGATATTCGTCTACATTTAAATGCTCTAAGAACAATAGCAAACAACTAAACCCCAATTCCTTTTGTAAAAATAAGTTTCTAAACTTGATAAATCATCAAGATTAAATCATTACACGTCTCCATCATTGAGCTTTTAGATAAGTTTCTTTTGCTATTTCCTCCATTTTGTGTTTAAGGTTGGTTCTACAATTTAGAATTTTTTCCATGATGACTAAAATGAAAATTTATTAGTGAAATGATGAAATTGATAAGAATCTTTAAAGTGATATTCAATTATTGTATTGCATTTTCTTGGCATTTTGATTTATTAGATAATATATTACTTTTTATTTTCCAATAAACTTGCTTCATTGTTTAATGAGTACATATGTATATTTGGGTACACAACACAAATATGAATTGCTAAATCAACTACTTTTTCATTCTTTCAAATAGGTAATTTAAGCATCAATGCTCTTGTACAAAGCCTTATTGTTGTTGTACTTACTATTAAAACTAAACTTTATATAAAAGTCTAAAAAAATCTGCAACAATTCAAGTTTTTTATATTTTGAATCACCAACTGA